GAGCAGGGAGCCCGATGCGGGGCTCGATCCCAGGACCCCGGGATCATGACCTGAGCCGAAGGCAGATGCTTAACGACTGAGCCACCCAGGTGCCCCAAGGACAATATTTTTAATAACTGAAATTGCTCTCTTTTAGACAAATGTGGAAATAAAACCTGACCCAACCATGGCTCTGCTGCTTGTCTTTCCAAACAGAAGAGGCGGTGAGTGTGCTCATCTGTAGCTACTTTAAGAGGTTCAGTGAATTACAGGGCAGAGCCAAGAGTGCAAGACAAGGCACCAGCGGTTGGCACCTAGCTTTTTAATGTGGGCCATCATACCCTCCAGGTAGCTATGTTCTTTACTAATTACAGGCTTGAATTACAAATTTTCTAAGTTTTTCTTTTCAGAAATCAATTAATAGATTAAAGATATATATATGTAAGGTAACAGAGAAAGGTCACTGATACGAAAACTAAGACACCACAGACACATGATGTTCAAAATACATTACTTAGTGCAGTATGTACCAACCAATTTAGCAGAAGCAGAGATCTGAGCTGTATCTTTACCTGCAGATGTCACAAACTCTTAAAAAAACACACACAAAAACATAAAGCAGAGCCAAGCAAAAGCTAACGTCCATACAGGCGCATCGGCAGCAGGTAGCAGCTCAAAGAGCACCAACATCCTCAGCCTGCACGCCCCAGTTGTAGCAATAACACAGCAGCAAGGACAATAAATCCAGTCTTTATGCTAAAGACAAAGGGCTTCACTGATACTGGCTTAGTGCAGAATCTGTTCAGGTTTTATGGGGTTTTTTTTGAGAAAACACAGATAACAATCCCGGGAAAATCTAAGATGTTACATAGTTTAACACCTTTTAAATACATGGAATATTCTCTAACAGGGATAAACCCACATTAAGACTGGTGTTATATCTTGCAGCTTGAGTATTGCTTATGGAAATAGCTATGGCTTCAGGTGGGCAATGCTATGCACCAATAATGCAGATGATACCTATCATTCCAAATGTATTTCTGGTGTTTCCTTCTTTGCCCCATTAACTGTTATGTTCGTTCTGATTTTCTTTGGCCACTCTGAAAAACCTAATACAAATCATAAACTATTTCCTGGATGCTGGGAGCTAAATGGAACATAATTTGAGCTTCTTGGGTAGATCCAGCTCCTACCTATTCGAGTATTGGCAAATACATCAGCTAGAGACCCACTGGTTCCTTTGACCTCTCCATGGGACAGCGTAGAAGATGCGGATGAAGAAGTGGACGATCCCTGAATTGAACGGTTGATCCAGGACTCAGCATTCTGTAAGCTCTGTTGCAAGGCAGCAGAGAGCGCAGCTTGGCGTCTCAGAGAGCCCTCATCCTCAGAGGCCGAAGACGTGTCTGTGTGGAATTAGAAAAAAAGAAGTTCTCGATCCTGCCTAGAACAGAGACCTTTCAGTTCTTGCTCATTGATCACACATTCAATTTTGACACCAGCAAAATATTTGCATTCTTTTTTTTTTTTTTTTTAGAGAGACAGAGAGATTTGGGGGGAATGGGGGATAGGGAGAGAGAGAATCCTAAGGAGGCTCCATGTCCAGCATGGAGCCCAATGCAGGGCTTGATATCACAACCCTGAGATCATGATCTGAGCCAAAATCAAGAGTGGGATGCTCAACCAACTGAGCCACCCAGGTGCCCTATTCACATTCTTAAGGTAGATTAGTATGTAAAGTTTCTCAAGAATCTCAGGGAAAGGTCTATGGACAAAACCTGCAAAAATAAAACAGCCTAAATCTAAAAGTAATTTTAAGTTCTTAAAAAATCCCTTTTAGAATATTTAAACTTCATTCACTGCTTTTCTGTTCTGAACTTAACCAGGATCTAAATTCTTCTGGCGTATCTACTTATATATTCAAGTAATACTGAAGCGCTTATATATCTTCCTCAACCTCTTAATTAGAGAACCTTGTGATAGGTTGCTACACTGATTCTGACAAGTACATATTAATTAGTGTCTACTCAAAAGGAAATGATCTTGATAGGGTGATATAAAAACTTACTTTTGTTAACAACAATTTAAGTGTCTAACAGTGAGTTAGATGCTGGGGACCTAACAAATGGAATTAGAAACAGTGCTTAGCCTGGAGGCATTCATGGTTTCAGAGGAAAAGTGGTCACTCAGCACACGTAAGCTTTTCAAACATGACAGGGGACAACCCTGATCTGTATTGCTCTCCTTAATTCTCAGAGAAGAATTGTGAGAAATTTACTGATGTCTGTATTTGGCCTGGCTCTGACTTAAGGAAAATAAGGCCTAAATTAGAAAACCATGTTGAGAAAAATAAAAAAGGAAAAGTTCAACCAAATATAGGATAGCCGAGGGAAGCAGAAGTCAGGAATTTATTTCAAGGCTCTCAGCTTAGGAGCCATACAAGTTAAAGGGGCATTTGGTCTGATCTGAAACAAACCCTTCGACATGATTTAGGGGGTTATAATTAATGGCCTGTGGATTGAATTTCATTCAATTTTTTATTTTTTTTATTTTTTTAACTTTTTTAAAGATTTTATTTATTTATTTGAGAGAGAGAGAATGAGAGATAGAGACCACGAGAGGGAAGAGGGTCAGAGGGAGAAGCAGACTCCCCACCGAGCAGGGAGCCCGATGCGGGACTCGATCCCGGGACTCCAGGATCACGACCCGAGCCGAAGGCAGTCGCTTAACCAACTGAGCCACCCAGGCGCCCTCATTCAATTTTTTAAAAAATTAAACACCCTGTGGTTAGTCCTGCTGAACATTCTAACTCAGGGGAAACTGTAGGTATGCGTTCTGCTTTGGTTCAAAAAGCCAGAGAGAGAGGGCTGCCTGGCTGGCTCAGGTAGGGCAGGCAACTCTCGATCTCAGGGTTTTAAGTTCATACCCTACGTTGGGTATAAAGATTACTTAAAAATAAAATCATTAAAAAAAACAAAAACACAAAGAGCCAAAGAGGTAACTAACAGGGCTAGAATGCTGCTAGCACTCGACAATGGAAATTTGAACCACAAAAGACTATTTTAACCTAGAAGCCAAATTTTGCAGGTCCAGAGCAAGCAAGGAAGTTAAAATAATGACTATATTCTGGCTTCCTGCTCTGAACCACCTCCAACTTATTATCTCATATTGAAGGAGATATGAGGCCCAAGACTGATTATTTTTACAATCTACTACATAACTACAATACGTGCTGGAAACTATGTCAGGTTCTGGGGATTCTGAGATGTATATGTTCTTCTAAGACAGTGCCCTAAAAAGGCTTAAGGTCTGGTACAGGAGACACAATCCCACGGACTATCTCACAAGAATACAAAGGATGCTAAGAAACAGGGTAAGCAAAGGGTTTCACAAGAGGGGCACTAATCTTAGTCAAGGATTTCAAGAACTTCTGTGTAAATGGAGTAAAGACTTTGAGGTGTAAGGGGCAAAAGATGAGGCTGGAGAGGTAAACAGTGGTCAGACCCCAAAGGATACATGGATGAGGTTCTTTAAAGGGGAAAGAGATCTATAATGCAAAAGGAGAGTGACTTAAGGAAAATATAGAGAAAGAAAAGTAACAGCATTTGTAGCTTTTTATTCAAGGAAAGAGGTTTGTATCATTCCCAAAAAATATTCCAACATTTCAACGGTACCTTGGAGGGCAGAGATTTCTGTCTTTATAAACATGCTAAAGAAAAGATGAATGGGCGGGTGGCGTGGGACAGGTGAATCTGACCCTAATAACAAAGTACTTTCAGGGTCATACATCTCAGGATCCCACGAACTCCACTGGATTTACAGGCTGTCTTTATTGGATCATTTATTTTAAACTGTGTTAAGTCTAAAATCAGAATAACCCAATTTTCAGAAGATAGTAAAACCAGTATTTTCATGATTAGGATTATGGAAAATTGGCTTCACCATGTTTCTATATTGGATCAATTATGTAATTAGGTGCATTGTTTCAATTCAATTACCTTGTTTGCCTGCCAGTCCTCCTGAGTGTTTAGTGACTAAAACTGTGGGCTGGAAAAGACATGGCCTTGGTGTCTATCTTCCACTTGAACTCTGGGGTCCGCCGCTCACAAGCTTTGTGACTTGGGGATAAAATTATCCATCTGAGAAGGTTTGCTTGTTCATCCCTTCAACAAATACCACGAAGCGCTACACTAGTTGGCAGGAATAAAATGGTGAACAAGGAAGATACGTCCCTATTCTAATAGGACTTAGAGTCTTACACAGTGCAGGCACCCAAGGAAGTGAGCCCTAAACCCAGGCAGGCCAGAAGGGTAAGTAGCTATTGGTTCTGAGGGCCACTGGGGGACGGGGGAGCAAAGAGTCAGGGAGAGGGAACAGCAGGCTAGGATGCTGGGAGGGGACAGAAAAGGCACATTTGAAGATCTGAAAGCAACAGGACTAGCTCAAGCACAGGATGCTACACAGACGAAAGATGAGGCTGGACCAGTGGATAGTGCTGGGCTGCTAAGGGTCTTTGTGCTAACTGCAACAGGAGACCATGGAATGAGACAATGTCCAGAAGGCACCCCCAGCAGTGCCAGCAGATAGCAGTTGGCCAGTAATCCTTAGTTCCCCTTCTCCTCCCCAAATAATCCACCCTACGTTAGCTCACCAGCACAAAACTGGCTGTGCAAAGCTTCTGGTGGATTGCCTATTAAGATCACACAGAACATGACTTTATCTTTTAAGAAATAAAAATGAGCTCCCTTAAATATTTATCTGTTTATTCAGTAGTTTTTTGAATTTGTCAAATAGCTATCACCCAGGAAACTGCTGTGGATTAGAAGAAATCTGGGCAAGATTTAATAGTAATAAAGTTATTTTCCCACTGATTCTGCTCCAGTTGAACATGAACTCACAACACTTATCCATCAAGTTCCTTGCCTAACTCTACTTTTATGTAAGATGAATACCATAGGTCCTTGCCTAAACTCTACTTTTATGTAAGATGAATACCATAGGTCCTACAGAAGAGAAAACAATTTTTAAACCATGGTTTGCCCTTCAGTTTATAGCTGGTGTGATTTTTAACACAGCACCATTTTATACTGATAATCAGATGCCTAAAATTCATTTATAACCAATTAGAAAACATGTAACAATTAGCTTGTCGATTTTAAGGGAAGGAAAGTCCTGAATTTACTGCCTTTAACTGTTGTAGCACTTTTAGTTGTTAGCCATGAGTGGAAAGGACTTCCCTCTTCCTGGCAGAAAACAGATCTATGATACCTAAAAATGTTTATTTTAAAAGTTTAAACACCTACCCATTCCACCTACTAATGGCATAATCCATCCAATCTACTCCTCAGTTATCTACCCAAGAGAAATGAAAATATACAAGGACTTGTACATGAATGTTCATAGCAGCTTTATCTGTAACAGGTAAAAACTGGAAAGCATCCAAATGTCCATCAAGAACTGAAAGGACAAAGAAATGGTGGTATATGTATTTGATAGACTACTATTCAGCAATAAAGAGGAATGAACCTCCGATATACACAACATGGATGAATCTCAAAATAATTATGCTGAGTGGAAAAGTACAACAAAGTATGATTCTATTTATATGAAATTCCAGAAAATACAAACTAATGTATAGTGATGGAAAACAGATCATGGGGAGGAAGAGAAGTAGGATTACAAAGGGATTATGAGGAAATTTGGTAGAGGGATGATGGATAATGTTCATTTTCTTAATTGTGATGACGGTTTCACAGTTTCGCTATGTCAAAACTTAGCAAAATATATACTTTAAGTATGTTTATTGCATGTGGATTATAATTCAATAAAGCTGTAAGAAGAACGAATTTAAAAAAGATCTATGGGGGTGAAAATGGCACCTCGCTGAGAGGATGGTAACATCTCAGTCCGTCTACACTGCCAGAGGGCTACCATACCAGCTGGACACGCTTCTGGAAAGACAGTGCCTGCCACTGGGTTCTGACAGCTGACACCAAAATCAGGCCCAGACATCAGCTTAGAACAGTAGCTAGGTCAAGATTCACTGAAAGAAAGATCTTATCCTAACAATGACTACCAAATATACCACATAAGCTAGGCCAAGAAACAGGAGCTTCAAAGAACAAGGAAAAGGAAACAACTCGTAGGACAGTTGCTGAATGACTTCTGACTGGCATGAATTGCTTGACCACGACTGTCCAAATTGGAACCCTTCTGAGCAGGGGTACTCGCTGTCAATAATTACTCCAGGGTCGCTGTACCTGTAAGGGACCTCCAAACACTGTTTTTCTAGGTATTTTCCCATGTCTATGAAAAAACAGTTCACAAAATCAATTAATATTACAAATAATACTGTTGCCCCTTGAACAAATACAGGAGTTAGATGCACTGGCCCCATGCATGGTGG